TTTGCATGGATTAAAAGGGTTGCACACAGAAGCTGAGGGCTAACCTTGACACTACTAACTGGTTACCTACCCTCATGAATATTCCACCTGAAAAAAACTGTGACAATATACTGTGTGTATCTACAAGGAGGGAAAACGTGGGAGCGGGCGGGGGGGGGGGTTCCTATCTTTCTATTTGGATACCTGAGCATGTACAAAATTCCGATTTTCTGGCTATCAAGTGCCCCATATAGAAATCACTTTGAGATTTAAAGAAGAAAAAGACTATCAGCTTAAAATGCTATTTTCTGCCACCATTTCCAAATGTGTATTTCATGATTAAATTCTAAATCTTAAAGCATTAGTGTGAAATACCAATAAATTTTCTTTTTTGTTACTACTGCCTGTATTCTAATAAGGAAACAGCTTGGGATTTTTACCCAGGAGTACCAGATGAATGATGGATCATCCTTCAGTTCTTCATTGTGTATTAAAACAGTGAACTACTGTATGCATAATGAAGTTGTCTAAATGGAAATGCAATTTAACTTATTTGCTTAGAGTAATAAAAGCATTTTGTGCATTTAATCTCAATTAGTTTTTATCTGCTCTTTCATTATAAGGGACTATATATATATCCACCTCCATACAACAGGCAGTAAGAATCATCTGAATAAAAATTACGCTGGCAAGTAAGCAACACTGAACGATACCCAATAGAAACAGCAGTAACAAAAGATTTCAGTAACAATCCAAATTTTCTTCTCTTATTAAAGAAGAAAATGATTAACTGCTAAAGATACCTCTCATTGGATTTTAGAAATACACTACACTAAGGCTCAAGCTTCTCAAACTCATTTAAAAACATCTGCAAATTAAAAGCAAATGACAAACATTACTGCTTACCCATGGGAACAACTAGTTTGTTTTTTTTTTTCTTTTAAAGATTTTATTTATTTATTTGACAGAGAGAGATCACAAGTAGAGAGGCAGGCAGAGAGAGAGGGGGAAGCAGGCTCCCTACTGAGCAGAGAGAACCTGATGTGGGGCTTGATCCCAGGACCCTGAGATCATGACCTGAGCTGAAGGCAGAGGCTTTAACCCACTGAGCCACCCAGGAGCCCCCAACTAGTTTTTTTTAACAGATGAATCTTCTGCCATAGTAAACACACTGAATTAGAAATGTCAGTTATACCCTTAAGAAATATTTCCACATACTCCCATATTCTTTTCTGGAAAGAATTTCGTAGCAGAGAGCATACAATTCTGAAGGGTAACCCGGGTTAGCAGTCATCCACATACTTGAAATCTCAGCCAGTAAAAATGCAAACTAGACAGTTTGTGTGCTGGCTTTCCATGTTAAGAACTCACTCCATCAATAGTGTACCATCTGTCATCGGATGTCACAGCTTCACCTTAGCCAGGCACCACTCCTTGGCAAACGAGAAACCAGGCCTAAAACCCAAGTATTCAGTTTTCCAGTCTGGTGCTTTTTTTAAGGACAAATTTTATGAATTCTGTAGGTAAATTTTTAAGTTAAAAATTCTTGGGTAAGAATCCAAATTCAGAATCAGTTAAGAAGCAAAGGTCAGAGAAGATAGGCCATGAAAACTCATGAAAGTCAATGAAAAGGGCATCTCTAACCACATCCATGAAAATCTAAACCAACCACTAAAAAAACCCCTCCTAATCTTCATTTCCCTACCTGGGAGTCCAAAGAGGTGGGATCTAATCCCCTAGAGCCCAAACAGATGGATCTGTAGATGAGTGCTATGTCTACATATCCTTTATGTCTCTAGAAACAGAAGTGACTGGCACACATACCGGAAACCCAGAAATCGGGTGGGCAGGACAGCACAGCTGGTACATATTGGCAAAGAGGACTGACATGTTCTCTGTAATAGAACCATATTATTCCCATCACTGCTGCACAGACATCTGATCAGTAACTACAAAAATGCTTATTTACGTGCGTGGGAAATTTAAAGGGTAATGTCAAATAATGTAAAAAGATGACGTACTTATTCACATGACTCTCAAAAACATCTAGGAAAAATATAAATTTTAAAAAGCGAAGTTTAGTCAATATTTAATAAACAAGACCCTTCACAAGAATTTTTGAGTATGAATCCAACCTCCATATTTCAGTGAACTTTAAACCTTATTGTAAGTTATTCTCTCCAAGTTAGAGTAATTTGCCAAACAGGAAAACCAACAGATTTTTACTGGCTAAGGATAATTTCAGTCTAAGATTTTTATGAAGTTGTAAATGAGAAACTAAAAACAGGAAAATGTGAAACGACGTAGCAGTTTAAGCCCCTACTTACCACAAAGAGTGTAGGGGAATATTTAATCACTTTTAATCCCCTTTTTATTTTACTGGTGTTGGATATGGGGTCTTTTTTAAGATATAAATTCTGCAACAGGTTTTTACTAACTCAACAGATGCAGCACATCATAATTTTATGTGCCACATAGCCATTTTTGATGATGGGGTGAGTTCTGGGGGAAAAGTTCCATAATTCCCAAGTACTGGTACCGTAAATCCTGAATGAAAACTGTAAATGTGAGTATATGACTTACAAACTTAAGCACATAAATTCAACAGTATAGAAAGTCAGAACCATTATCAGAGCCAAAGGGTGCTCTAGGTAAAATTCAAGACCAAAATCAAATTTTGCTTATTTGCTTTTCTACCAACTGTTTAGTTTATGAATTCAAGAGACATTCTATTAAGAGTACTAAAGCTGATGAGACACCTGGCTGGCTCAGTAGGTTAAGCCTCTGCCTTCGGCTCAGGTCATGATCTCAGGGTCCTGGGATCGAGCCCCGCATCGGGCTCTCTGCTCAGCGGGGAGCCTGCTTCCTCCTCCTCTCTCTGCCTGCCTCTCTGCCTACTTGTGATCTCTGTCAAATAAATAAATAAATATTAAAAAAAAAAGTACTAAGCTGATACCCCTCATCCCTTTTTCACCACTCCGTCTCCGCTACATGAATCGTTAAGAATGGTGGCAATTGCTGGCCCCCCAACACAAGCACTGCCATCTAGTGGCAATTTTTTTTTTAAACCAACAATTAAAAAACAAAAATAACACTTGGCCCTGCTCTGGTAACAAAGAGTAGATCCTGATGGTTTGTCAAATAAGCAAATGCATTTGGTACACAAACTCCATGCCACCAAACTACTGACCAGTTATTTATCTACAAAAAAAAGTTACCACAGTAAAAAAAGTAAGTCTCTTACGTATTACAATATTTTGCAGTGACTCGTGACTTCCTCATTCATTCATTATCCAATGATGGCACATGGATAATAATGCACCAAAGAAAAGTAAATTGAAAACTCTTAGAAACAATGAGTAAATATAACCCTGAATTGAAGACACTAAACCACTATGCAAATGTGCTCTTGCCCCCACCCCAAGCCGGTCTCCAAGTTCTTGGACATTCCTACCCAAAACACTCAACAACACAGAAGATAAACTCCTGATGAACACATTCCTATGAAGTTATAAAAACAGCAAATGTTATTTACAACATTCACCTTAAATTTGGAAGTGGAAACTACAGATTAAAGATTAGGAATTAGGGGGCGCCTGGGTGGCTCAGTGGGTTAAAAAGCCTCTGCCTTCAGCTCAGGTCATGATCTCAGGGTCCTGGGATCGAGGCCCGCATCGGGCTCTCTGCTCAGCAGGGAGCCTGCTTCCCCCTCTCTCTCTGCCTGCCTCTCTGCCTGCTTGTGATCTCTGTCAAATAAATAAATAAAATTTAAAAAAAAAAAAAAAAAGATTAGGAATTAGGAATAGGCTATTTCTTTTGAAGTACTGTTTGTAGGAAATTATTGGATGTGGTCAAAAGCTAAAATAGGAATATGAGCCTCTATCACCTATTATTCCATAATCCATTAAATAATACAAGCTAAAAAGCTTCCCAAACATTTTCAAATCATGGCATGCACCAGAAAATAATTTTATCTGCACACATTAAGAAATGCAAGAGAATGTTCTTGGCTGAACCCTAGGGGCTGAAGAGGTCAATATGAATAAATTTTGTTCACAATCAATGGGAACCTGTGGGTCAAATCTGGGACGCCTGGGTCACTCAGCAGCTGAAGCATCTGCCTCCCGCACAGGTCATGATCTCAGGATCCTGAGACTGAGCCCCAAGTCAGGCTCCACACTGAGCCAAGTCTGTCAGATTCTCTCAACCTCTGCCCCACCCAGTCATGTTTGCTCTCTCAAACAAATAAAATCTTAAAAAAAAAAAAAAGGTCAAATTTATTAAAAGTCCTGACGGAAAAAGGCTGCACTAAATACTGCATAAGCACCCAAACCACTGAAGTTTCTCGAAAAGTTCTTAGAATTCTGGAACTAAGATCATAAATATTACTTTGATCTTTTACACATCAGTATTCAGGAAGGAGCTTCTCTACTGGACATTCCTCTAGTCAAGGAAAACAGTAGTCCCAATCTCTGAAACAGGTCAAACCAACATGGTAGGGTTGGGCTGACCTTCCTGGCCACCTAAGCCAGGACTATACAGCTGAACAGTATGTGCTTTAACCCCACGGGACAACTCAGATGTCTGGCCACTATTTTTAGGTTATGACCCTGGCCACCTTTCTTCTGTTAAAAAACAAAGAAACAAAAAACCCAAAACAACAACAACAAAAAATTTTCCACAAGTTTCTCTGCCCGAAATTGGAGACACCTTGTTTTTGAGTTATTTCAAATCACAAATTCAGAGACTTGTAAACATGAGGCTTCTGTTCAATTCCCCAGGGGGAAAGGATTCTTCATTCTGGTATTTACAGTTCAAAAAAAGTTGTGATATTGTGGTTAGAACACAAGGAACCACTTATTAACTTCTTGCTATTATAAATAACAGCAGCTCAGTCCAGGTTACTGTGACCTGTGACAGATCAAGGAAACAAGTTATTTTCTCCTCTTGTGATTACAGCACATTGCGAGAGACACTTTTTTTTTTTTTTAACCTTTTAATAAATGTCCTGGCACTCTGAGTTTCCCTTTCAATTCATTTAATTTCAACAGTCTGTCAAAAAAAGAGCCAAAAAACAAATACTGAATTACATCTTGTTGGGTTTTTCAAACCCTCCAACTGCAGACTATAAAAACGTCTGGGTCTCTCTCCCTGACCACCCTGCTACGTTGCCATATACCACAGGCAACCCGTAGATACACAGCCAGGGGGCAAAGCCAGTACGGTCTACTTGGAGCCAGTAGACAGGAGGGCGATGAGGCCTGATGAAGCGCTTATGGACAAAATATAATTCCTGTAAAAATTCAACGTTAAGGAAAGAAAAAGTGCAAAAGTAGTTCTTCCACAAAATAAAAAGAGCCCAACTCTTTGGAATGTGCTCTTCCCGTCTGACACTGTAAAACGATAATGATGTGCAGTCCCATTGTCTGCAAATGCAATTTACAAGACAGAAGGCTATAAAGAATGAATAACATTCAAAGGAAATGTGTTCCAGTTTTAAAAAGAAAATACTTGAGACAGAAACCTAGAACACATGATCACAAAGAAGACATCTGAATTCCATTTAACCTAAAGGAGAAGAGCTAATCAAGACTATGAACAGGAAGATGAAATTTAGCTTCCCTGCCCCTGGCCAAGAACAAAGGAAAAATAAGTCTCCTCTGTCCATCAGTGTTTTGGCTATAGTTGGCCTATAAAAGCAAGGAGGCTCTCTAAGTTCACAGCTACTCTCAGTCTCAGAATGGCACTGTTTAGGACAAACCATTCTAGTATTCCCAGAAGATACAAGCTAGAGAAGTCTCTTTTATTACATAAAATCTAAGTCTGGCTGCACATCCTTAACTAATACCTTTAATAAATTACCTAAAAAAGAGAAGACTGATTTTTGCCCCAAAGCTCAATTTAAGAGCAGCTTGAAACACTATTAAGATATTATGAAATGTATCTATTTAACTACACTGGCTATCCACCCAATTCCAAAGCCCCAAAATGTCAGCAGACACATGGACTTACGGCAGGAACTACCAAAGGAGGCAAGTTGCTTTTGACCTCAGAACTTATTTTTAAATAGGAGGATAGGGGTGCCTGGGTGGCTCAGTGGCTTAAAGCCTCTGCCTTCGGCTCAGGTCATGATCCCAGGGTCCCGGGATCGAGCTCCCATATGGGGCTTTCTGCTCACCAGGGAGCCTGCTTCCCTTCCTCTCTCTCTGCCTGCCTCTCTGCCTACTTGTGATCTGTCAAATAAATAAATAAAATCTTTTTTAAAATTAAATAAATAAATAAAATAGGAGGATACACATGACCATAGATGTACGACTGCTTTGTAATACTTGTTATTTATCATGAAGTTATAATTTATAAACTTCAAAGAACTTTAAATCAAACCTAAAGCCCTTATTTTAAATGTCCAGAAACTTGCCTAAGGTCACAGTGCTATTCAGTGGACTGATTGCCTGGGCAGTTTTTCTTCATAGTAAAATAGTTGGGATAAATCAAAACCAAAACAAACTACTGCTTCTAGACTTTGAAAATGCTAATGAACCTTTAAAAGGATACACTGTAGGGTTGAAGTTCTTCAGTATAAAGAAGGAAGCAACAATGACCAAGACCAGGAAGAGGGTGTTGTTATAGAAGATGGAAAATGTTGTAGCTTCATAATCAGCAACTTCGTTCTTCTTCCACAAGATTCTGTAGACAGACAAACCAATTAAGTTTATAAATATGTATTAAAATATTTTAAATATGACATGGCTCTAATTCACTATAACGTAAGTTCTTCCTTACATATTCTGGACAGAATGTGTTTTTAATATTAAATTTAATCAGCATTGTACCCTTTTTTCCTGCTGAAAAAGACATTTCACTCAATTGATAAAAATAGCTGCTCAGTCTATTACCTTTCTTCCCAGGCAGTCAGGGCTTTGGAGGGAGGGACAGATTAATTCCAACTGGCTTGGTTTCATCAGCAGCCTAAAGAGACATGAGAAGTTCTCTAGGTCCTCACCTAAAACAAACTCCACGATCAGTAGCCAGATGAAGCTTTCCTGGCTGTCTGCTGGCTTGAGACTCTCAACCTCCAGATTTCAGCCTTCAGTTATTATACCTGAAGAAAATCCTAAGGACCAAAAACTAGCCGTGGCTCACAGAAGCAGACTAGTCTGCAAATATCTTTAGCTACCTTTACAGGATTCAAACAAAGAATGTGCTTCAACATAAAGAGGATTTTTTAACTTTTGTAAAACCCATTTACTTTTTATTTAACCCATTTTACTATGTTTTATTAATTGACTAAAACCTTATCAACCTTTTCTTTTACCTGTTCACATGGGCAGCAGAAGTTACAGGATGCCTGTGAATAAGGTAACCTTTATTCCATTTGATTAATTAACTTTGTAAAGCAGTTTTTAAAAGAGTAGGTTGTGACCCATTAGTGGGACATGAAATCATTTGGGTGGATTCAATGCTCAGGGAAAGTAACTTGAGTGGAACGAGACCAGTTTTTTTTTTTTTTTTTTTTTTAAGGTTTTATGTATTTATTTGAGAGAGAGAGAGTGAGCACATGCAGGAGAAGGGGGAGGGTTACAGAGAGAAGCAGATTCCCCACGGAGCAGGGAGCCCAACTTGGGGCTCGATCCCAGGACTCCGGGATCATGACCTGAGCTGAAGGCAGATGCTTAACCAACTGAGCCACCCAGGCACCCCAAGAGATCAGCATTTTTTTTAAATAGAAAAGTATCAAGGATGCCTGGGTGGCTCGGTGAATTAAACATCTGCCTTCAGCTCAGGCAGTGATCCCAGGGTCCTGGGATCGAGTCCCACATCGGGCTCCCTGCTCAGCGGGGAGCCTGCTTCTCCCTCTTCCTCTCTCCCTGCTTGTGCTCTCAAGTAAATAAATAAAATTTAAAAAAAAAAAATATCGAGTATATCACCCACATAATTATCGAGTGTATCACCACCATAATCACTGTTTTGTGAAACATTTGCATGTGTGCATGTTTGAGTGTATTTGGTCAAAAGGTGAAGTACTTTACTGTGATTATCAAAAAGGTTGAAAGCCATCACCACTGATGTTTTGTCTCCCAAAGATCCACTACTCTGGGGTTAGATTATTCCTTCCACCAATCCTAAGGACAGCACTATGGCTAATGTCATTGGCCACTGCTGCATTTTATTCACCACATGTTTTAGTCCGAAGTCAACAAGCCCAACTGTAAAGGAGATAAATGAAATGAACTTAACTTCATCACAAGAAGTCTGTGGTCTCCTAATATAAATGCCACAGTTCCTTAACTCTATGGATACCATCAACTTAAAACTTCTGTTTACTGTTAGGTTTGGGAAATAAAGGATATTATGTTAAATGCAGCCATCAACTACAAAACAGCTTCTGATTTCAGAGTAGGTTAAATGTAAATTTAGAAAATATATGGGACTTGGAATTGAAGGAAATACATTTTATCAGCTTAACACTGATGGAAGAAACCACTATCTCTGAAAGATGCACAGACCCAACGTGGTTTAATGCTAGAGAACATGGACAACAAGTGCTCCTGTTTTTAAGTCTCTGGTACAAGACCAAAGGAAGACAGGTTCCTTAAATAAGCTATTAGCATGCCTCCACTACGGCTGCCTAGATTATCCCACCTCCACAGGAGCACTCCTCCCTAACTCCTTGCCACGCCCTGATTCAGAACCATCTTCAGAACACTTCTGATGAAAAAAGTGGCTCACTCCTTTAGGTTACCCCAGCTCCCAGTATGTCCAGGTGTTACATCAGTGCACACACAGGACTGCCTTGGACAGGTTTCAGAACTTTCTCTAGCCCACTCGTATCCTGTTTCATTTAGAAAAAAAATGAAGACCACCCCCCCACACACAAATGTCCTCATTAGCAACAGTTCTGCCAAAGCTTCACTGGTAAGGAATCTAGTTTGGGAGAGCACTCCCAAGGAGTCATTTTTCTAAAGAGCACTTCCTAGAAGAGAAAGACTGAGACCAAATCCAAGAACTGTTATAATCACCTAACGCTAAATGAGAGACCACTGGTAAGTCAAGAAGAAATAAAACACACACCCAGGGATAAATATTAATGAATCTCTGATTCTCCTCAGCTAATGTCCAACCTTGAATGGAGGGCAAAACAGTTTCAAAGTGGCATGGGGTACATAATCCAAATGACTGTAAGTGAGAGCTCTGAGACATACATATCTGGGCAAAGAGGTGTTGACAGGCCTTCTCTTAAATCTCTTGAGGCAACTTACTTTTGAGGGAGAAAAATACTAGATCTTAATGGGAGTCCTGGTCCCAGTTATCAGTCAATCATGAGTAAACACCTGGATAAACTTTTTATCCGGTGTGGTTTTTGTGAAATAGTAACAGCACAAACTTCTACGATGATAAGAATAGAAATTTTACAACCTTCTGACACTCTGCATTTTATGTATCCACAGAACCTATACTTCATTCTCTTTGAAATACTGATTCAGCCAATAGCAAAGATATTTCATTTCTAATTCCAACTCTGATCTAGTAGTAGTGACTACCTGAATACCATGCTGAGAAAAATTCTGAGACATATCCCAGGATCAAGAACAAGTGCCAGACCAATCAGGCAAGTCTGCAGAGGGCAGAGGAGACCCATTTGCCATCTCTGCTATAATTCATCACCTAAAACCTATAGAGAAATTGGGTAGCTGTGATGCACACTTCAAGAACCACTTTTCTAATAAATACTGTAATTTAATTAAAAGATCTCTTAGAAGTGTCCTAGATTCCTGCCCTCTATCACCATGCAAAAATTTATAATCAGGAAGCTGTGCAGCAAGATCTCATGAAAGCTATCCCTGCAAAAAGGCCTTCACTGTCACTATTTTAATACTGTGCCCTTCAGGAAGGACCTGGGACCTGGCTGACTGAGTCAGTACAGCATACAACTTGTGGTCTCTGGGTCATGAGTTTGAGCCCCAAATTAGCTGTAGACATTACTAAAAGGGACCCTGAGTAAAAAAAAAAAAAAAAAAATCTAAAAAAATATATTGTATCCTTCAGTTTTTATAAAGGATCCACAGGAGATAATCATTCCTATAATGTTTTATAGTGCTTTTCAAAACCACTAGAAGACACTGTCCATTAAGTTACTCAGGGTCCCTTAAATAAGGATCCACTTGATAAAGTCCTTCCAAGATTCGGTGCCAGGAAAGTTTCTTTTCTGAAGGACTTACAAGCTGCTTCTCATCAGACAATGAAAGTGTATGACCTCAGATGCTCCCCCTAACACTTGGAAGCTCAGAGCTAAGTTCAATGCTCAACTGCTATACCTAACTCGGAGATTCTTGTTTACCCAGTTTTTCTTAATTTTAAAGGTTTCTGCTCTTTCAAAATTGGACTTCTTTATTTCACATGCGCTTTAATATGGCAAGTCTCCACAAAGTCTTTCCGAGGCACAGTGGGTTAAAAATTCCATTTCACAAAGCACTTTGTAGATACTAAAACTTAAGATCTATGAAAACCTCATCCCGTGACTGTATTAAACCTACATAACAACTCTTAAGCACAAGTTTATTCAATTATTCAGAGACTTCTGTTACTCAGATATTAGACTATTAAGGCTTCTAATAGTTGGCAGGAAAAACTGAGGGGAAAGGGCTAACAAATGTGCCACAGATTTGGGCAACAAAGAGAAACCAAGCTGTTTTCTCTTTCCCAACCAATGAAGATAACCAAGAACTGGCTGTCCCTAGGGAAACTCAGGAATGGAAATACCACCACCTAAAAATGCTAACACAATGCAATGTAAACTCTTCAGACCCAGAGTGGGGAGGTGATATGCTCAAGGTCACATAGCTACCAAGTGGCAGAGCCAGCACAGGATAAAGCTCTGCAAGCTCTGAAACTCCAGGAGAGAGGTTAGGACAAGCTCTCCAAGCCATACTGCCCTCGTTCTTATGGTGGATTGACCTCCACAGGGGAATTTATGCCCTCAGCTTCTTCAGATGTAAAATGCAAACAGCCCTACCTCACAGAGCTCTTTAAGGAAACAAATAAATGAACTGTGTATAACACAAAAGCATCTGGTGGGGGTAAAAACTCAAAATGTCAGTGTGATTGTTATTCCCATTACTAAGTCTTCTACGTTTAACCTCAGGCAATTCCATTATCCACATTATCTGGGAAACAACCAAAAATTTAATTTTCTACAAAGTATCCCCTTTTTGGATTGTCTCCAACAATTCAGAAGTCCAACCTTTCATCTTTTTCCTTTCGAGACATCTTTCTGTTATCAGCTTCGGAAAGTTTTCGAGTCACTTCTTTGGAAACAGCATCCTCCCTCTTCTGTGCTACTCTGGGGGGAAAAAAAAAAGAAAAAAGTTTCCACATGCTCCAGGAATGAACATCACCCTATCAAACACTCTGTACTTATATTTTGTATTGGCAACTATAGGATACTTTACATTTGAAGAAATAATTTTGACAGAAAATTCCAAGTTTATTATACTGTAAGAGCCAAAAGAAGGTTCAAGAACTTCCAAGATGGAGATTATTAGTTATTGGTTTTGACTTCTGCTTAAAAAGGATAACTTTCCAAAGTTTAGGTATTTAATATGTAAAGAAGTCAAATGCTTTTAGCACAATTTAGTTATAAATCATTTTAACTCCATTTTGTTTTAGCCTATTTATTTGTTCAACAAATAAATTTGATAAGGCATTGAAAAATGATAGAGGATCTCAATGCCAGTAAATATAAGTAGACTTAAAAAATAAAAGGGGAGCGGGGCACCTGGGTGGCTCAGTGGGTTAAAGCTGCTACCTTCGGCTCAGGTCATGATCCTAGGGTCCTGGGATTGAGCACCGCATCGGGCTCTCTGCTCAGCAGGGACCCTGCTTCCTCCTCTCTCTGCCTGCCTCTCTGCCTACTTGTGATCTCTGTCAAATAAATAAATAAAATATTTTTAAAAAAAAATGGGGGGAGGGGACACCTGGGTGGCTCAGCATGTGAAGTGTCTGCCTTTGGCTCAGGTTATGATCCCAGAGTCCTGGGATCAAGTCCTTCATGGGGCTCCTTCCTCAATGGGGAGACTGATTCTCCCTCTGCCTGCTGCTCCCCCTGCTTATTCACATGCACAGTCATGCTCTCTCTCTGGCAAATAAATAAAATATTTATTTAAGAAAGGGTAACTGTTGGCAAGGATGCGGAGAAAGGGGAATCCTCCTACACTGTCAGTGGGAATGCAAGCAAGTGCAGCCACTCTGGAAAACAGTACAGAGCTTCCTCAAAAAGTTGAAAACAGAGCTATTCTACGACCCAGCAATTGCACTACTGGGTACTTACCCCAAAGATACAAATGTAGTGATCTAAAGGGGCACCTGCACACCAATGTTTATAACAGCAATGTCCACAATAGCCAAACTATGGGAAGAGCCCAGATGTCCAATGACAGATGAATGGATAAAGAAGGTGTGGTACATACACATACAATGGAATATTACGAAGCTATCAAAAAAATGAAATCTTGCCATTTGCAATGATGTGGATGAAACTAGAGGGTATTATGCTGAGCGAAATAAGTCAATCAGAGAAAGGCAAGTTTCATATGATCTCACTGATATGTGGAATTTAAGAAAACAAAACAGAGGAACATAAGGGAAGAGAGGAAAAAATAAAACAAGATGAAACCAGAGAGGGAGACAAATCCTAACACTCTTTAATCATAGGAAACAAACAGGGTTGCTGGAGGGGAGTGGGGTGGAGTGATAGGATAATTGGGTGATGGACATTAAGGAGGGCATGTGATGTAATGAGCACTGGATTATTATATAATGAATCACAGGCCTGTACCTCTGAAACCAATAATACATTATATGCCAATTAACTGAATTTAAATAAAATGTTTAAAAAAATTACAAAGCAGGGGCGCCTGGGTGGCTCAGTGGGTTAAGCCGCTGCCTTCGGCTTAGGTCATGATCTCAGGATCCTGGGATCGAGTCCCACATCGGGCTCTCTGCTCAGCGGGGAACCTGCTTCCCTCTCTCTCTCTCTCTCTCTCTCTCTGCCTACCTCTCTGTCTACTTGTGATCTCTTTCGGTCAAATAAATAAATAAATAAATCTTAAAAAAAAATTACAAAGGAGAATCATAAAAAAATAAAAAAGAGAATTAACAGCTCTAACATATTAAAATAATACTTTTAACTTCTACTCAAAGAACAATTTTACTAAAAATAAATACCACAAGGTCAGGGATCAATCATACCACTTTTAACTAAATGAACCACTAGTTGTACCAAAAGATAATATGGAATCAGCCAGAAAAACAAAAAGTATTATTCAAGATACCAGATCAGAATCTTCAGTGATCAGTCCAGAAAAAAAATTTTTTTTTTCCCATCAGAAAAATCTATAAGGTGAATTTTATTAGATGAGATTGCTGGTGAAAGAGAGGATAAAATTTAACCTACGACAAAATACAAAAAGCCTCCCAAAGTTCAAGACATTTAAATTCAACATGGTGTATTTTTCATAATATAGGAAAAACTGGTTAGCCATAATTATAGAAAAAAAATAACTGATACAAGCAAAATCTAACAACTACCTACACAGTCCCACTGTGAAAATGTTCAACACATACTGAGATATATTAAAGGCAACAAAATGTGGAACGTGGAAATCTGTTCACTCTGTGTTCAATTAATTAATCCCTCATTACTCTGCTATATTTAGTTCTGGCCAGTGTACCAAGGAAAGGTGTGGAGAATTCAGGATGGATTCCTGAAAAGAAGGCCCAGGATCATTCAAGTCAATAGTTTTCAACCTTTCTTTAATCACAAGAGCTTTTGGGACACAAATTAAAGAACAAATTCCCAAAGATCCAACTTCACCTGATTCATTTTATTATGTAAAAGTTCTGTTCTTAAGGGCAGAGACTCTTATTTCTGAACCTCTCTAACAGACCAAGAACTCAATAAAGGTTTCTTGAACTTAACATAAGACCACTTTTTTCTAAGAAAGGCCAGCAGAGGGAAGCCTGGGTGTCTCAGTGGGTTAAGTCTCTGCCTTTGGGTCATGGTCCCGCATAGGGCTCTCTGCTCAGCAGGGAGCCTGCTTCCCTCTCTCTCTCTGCCTGACTCTGCCTAATTGTGATCTCTGTCGGTCAAATAAATAATAATAAAAAACTTAAAAAACAAAAAAAGGCCAGCTGATAAGAAATGAATATGGTTTACAGCAGAAACACTTCTGAGCTGAACAGAGGAAAACACACAAACACACACACACACACATATACACACAGCCCATCGGGATAAGACACAGGAATAACTATTTTCAAAGGAGTTGGCTATCTCCAAGTATCTTTAAGACAGTCAATCATGTGTTCACAGGACAAATTTTCCTGAAGAGACCAAACCAGATTAACTAATTAATTTCTCTTCTAGTTCTAAAATTCTATCTTCACCTAACAGACTCATAACAACCTGTCAGGTTTATTACAATTCAAGAAGTCTCCCCTCTGTCTTAGGGCTCTTAGTAAATCTCAATGCTGAATGCTCTAAAATAAGACAAAGGTCATTCTGGTGGTCCAGCACTCAGCCAAATGAGATAACCCACAAAATCAACTGTTTTTCTTCTACTATTATTTTTTTTAACATATTTCAGAACTGTTCCAGAATAAAAAAGAAAAATACCATCTATTTAATTTCTTAAACCAAAACATCTTTACAAACATTTTTTTAAAGTCATGCAACCTTGAAAAAAATTCCTACGGGCTCTGTCACCCCCAATCTCTCTGACACTGCACATAAACATTATGGGCTCACTATGCTTGACATGTCACCTGCATTATCTTATTTAATCCTTGCCATCTGTGAGGTACCATTAGTATCCTGATTGCACAGCTCAGGAATGGGACATCTAAAAAGATGAAATGTGTGCCCAAGGCTAGACATTTAAGAAAGGGAGAGCTGGGAATGGAATCCAGACTGTCAGCATATAAGCCATCTTTCCTTTTACTATGAACACCTACCCGCACCCTGCATCTTCCTGGGGCTTTAACTTTTAACACATCTTGTAAAACTGTAGGAGCTTCGATATGAGTGGCAGCATTTAATATTAAGTCAAAACTATGATTAAAAAAAAAAATTCCACTCTGACAGAACCTATTAAATAAAGTCAGTAGAAACTGAAATTTTACTGAACTAAATGTAGCGTTAACTGTCTTAAGGATCAAAAGACATGGCAGTGGCCCTCAAGAAGTCCGGAGCAGAAATGAGGAGATTTAAAAAAACAATTTTAATTCCAAAAAGGTTAATGAAAAATAATATGCAGAACAAGTCAAAAACTGGGAAGTCTCAAAGGGAGTGAGTTCCAAGGATATCACAAAGGATTGGTCATTCAAGGTGCCCACATCTGAGGGCTTCACTATCCACAGATGACTACACCTCACAAGAAAGACAACCCAGAACAGCAGAGTCCAAGACAGCTGAAACCGGAATGGCAGTTGGTAAAGAGGGCCGCCAAGCATAAAGATGATAAAGGTGAGCACTCTGCTGGTCTAGCAGAAAGGCAGTCACACAAACCTGAGTTCCTACAGATCCAAGACAACAGCTGAGAGATGCTGAGGCCACTTTCAGCCATTGAGGCCATTTCTGGTCTTCATACAATAAATCCCTTTAACTGAGATCATCTCAACTTTTTTTTTTTTAAAGATGTATATATTTGGGAGAGAGATTGTGGTGGGGGGGCAGGGGCGAAGGGGTGGGGAAGAGGTGAGGGAGAGAATATTCAAGCAGATGCTTGCTGAGCGTGCAGCCTGCACGGGGCTTGAGCTCAGGACCCTGAGTGATCATGACCTGAGGGGGGGGGGGGGAAGAGCCAGTCTACGCCGGTCATGTGCCCCTCATCTCAACATGTTTCTATTCCTTGTCACCACAAAGAGCCTAACATAGAAACAACAAACTTAGAAAGGATTTATATAATGTGTGATCTTAAATTAGAGGAAATATGATAATCTTTTATATTTTTACATACTTATAAGAAAAAATGTAATAAGCATTAAAAATGTCAGAGTTTAAAAAAAAAAAAAAAAGACCACTTCTTTCATGTCCAAAAATAGAACATGGAGAATCAGAACTGTTATTTTCAGAAAGAATTTCATTTTACTTCAACAATGTTAATTTACTTGGTGCTGTTTTTCTGATAAAACCCATGATTAAGGCTAGTGCTCAACTGTTCTCATTTTCCTCTCAAAACCTACTTCTGTGTCAGAAGCAGTCTCTGCTTCGCTTAGTTAATAATTCTTTATAGCATTAATATGCATATATACATACAGTTCAAACTGATATTTATTGAAAACAAGACAAATGGTCTTTAAGACATCCTTCTATATAAAAGTGCAACATGTAATACATGTATGTAATACATACTTTCACTTCACAAATATACTTACTTGTGTTTGAGAACAAATTTCACATTTTTGTATGCAAAGGCTACCAAATAAGTGCTTACTAGGGTCATCACACTATAGAGAACAGCAGACTGAATAAGATCCATATGCCATATTCGCCAATATAACCCTGATTTAAAATAGAATGGGAGAGGGGGAGAATACAAAAAGGAAAACATTACCACACAGTTACAAAGGCCTGCCCAATTAATTACAGCTAAGTCGATAAAATACAGTCCAGGTTAGGAAATCTAACACAGTCTAAGAAGATCTTCAGAACTGATAAAGTTAAGGTCTCAAACGTCCCCAGCTCAGAAAACTTGAAAAACAGAACGGCTTGGGAAGCCATTACTAGTCCAGACGAGATTTCTGCTTCTTCTAAAATGAAAATAAAATCTGGATAAAAAAAAAAAAATCAATTCAGACTTCAGGTTTTATTCATCAGGGCAGTATTAAGCTAACCACGAGCTGCTCCAAAACTCCACGTGCAGTCCCAAGCCATAGTTTACATGCTGACGTGGCTCTCTGAAATCCAGGCAGTGCTCTGTGCTGTGCGGCCAGTGAGGCTTTAGAAGGCCAAAGGAAAATGAATCTTAACTGCCCAACAAACGTGCAGCAGTATGAAGCAGGAGATTCAAATTCAGGAAACCTGAGCTATAAAAACAACCTTTGCCTAAGTCTGCAAAATTCCTCCATCTAAGTGAGAATTCTAATTGTCCTAACAGCATTAAAAAGTTTAAATAAGTTAGAGCGCCGGCTCTTAGCACTGGTGCAACCTCTCACCAAATTAGGAAAACGACGTTCAGCACTATGGGTGCTTCACCCAAAGCTACACTTCTATTCAATTCGAGGGTTAATGGGAATTTGACTCTGACCTAATTCATTAGTTTTTTCCAAAATAAGTAAACGATAAAGTTTTAAAGCTCATAACGGCAAACAGTTGTGGGTAAAAAACAGAAGAATACATATGCATGAATGTCAGCACAAAATCTTAACTAGACGGTTTGTACAACAGGAGCCGCCATCCCCAAACTAGTAAATCACAATCTCTGGGACCGGGGCCACAAGTGACTTTCCTGTGATGCCTCCCACCTCTCTCCCCATCGAGTATACTAAGTTAAGGCCCACAGAAGGTACATGCTATCCTCGTGCTCAGGACAAGCTAGGGGCAGCCGCCGGCCGTAGGCCCCAGCGCGAACTCCCGCCAGACGACCGGGCCCTGCCACGTCCCCGCCCAGCCCGGCCCGCCGGCGGCCTCCGCGGCCCGCCTGCTCCCGGCGCTCACAGATGGGGATGGCGGACACGATAAAGGCATTCCCGAAGAAGAGAGCGGAGGACTTGGCCGAGAGGTTGCGGCTGAAATCCTGCAGAAGCAAATCCTCCTCGGACTGCTGCTTGGAGCCGCCTTTGGGAGCCATGGTAGACCGGAGCTTCGAGCCTGGAGGGCGGTGCTGGGTAAACGCCACTGGCCCCGCCCCCACGGCCGCCGTATCCACTAAGGGCTCGTCAGCGCTACGCGCGGAGGCGGGACTCGGCGCGGCGCGGAAGCAAGCTTGTCCAGGATTGGCCCGCGGCATGGACGTCTCCCGGTGTGATTCGGCAAGTCGGCCATACTTCCGGGTTCTTGGCCAGCCCCGTGGCTAGTCGGGGATTTGTAGTTCCGTAGATACTTAAGAAAACTTAATTGACATTCCATTTTACAGGTGCCGTCACGCTTTCCGTTTCGTTGGAATTCCAAAGTAGGACACTGTTCTGGCCTCGAGTCATTCAGTCGGTCGTTGAACAAGAGTACGGTTCGTACCTTCTGCGTGTACCCAGCACTGGGCCACTGGAGGAGGAAGTGAAGAAAGACATAGCTAAACAAAGACGTGTGAAGTACTTTCTCCTTTATGTATCCATTATCTCTTTAAATCTCCTCGAAATCCTTTGACATGCACCTCGTTGTTCCCATTTTGCGGGTGAAGACCCTGAGAGCGAGAGCCCAGCAGCGCTAGTCTCCCCGGGGTGTTGACTGTTTTTCAACAAAAATAACAATCTACCTTTTCACGAAAAAGAAAGCGCTTTGGCTTTTGAAGAGCTCTTGGTCTCATTGATGAATATTCAACATGAGTCGAATACATTTACAAAACACAATTACTTTATTTCAACTCAATCTTTGGAGTAATGTGGACTCCACAGCCATGCTAAATAAAGCATAATACTAAGTAAAGAACATGTTGGGAAGACAGGCTTTCTCTGAAGCTCAGAAAATTGAATATGCCTATTAAAACAACCCGATACCAGTTTTGCTCATTGCATTATCACATTTTCTTAAAAAAACAAAACAAAAACAAACAAACAAAAAAACTCAGCTTCATTCATAGCAAAAACTTCTTTCATCTACATTACTGGCAACAGGCAAACTTCTCCAACCTTCGGCTTCCCTATCAACAGGTTAGTATATCTTTCATCTTAATTTCATCCAAATTGCAATTGACTTCCACGGTTTCCATTCTAATGGAGTTTTCTGTCTGCAACTTTCAGTCTAGCCTCTATATAAGTACCATAGCACAAGTTTTCCTGACATATAAGTCTTTCATATAAAGGCGAGAAGTCTTCATCAATAACAGCAAAATGAGAAAAAAAAAAAAGAACATCCAGTGATTTTTTTTTCAGAAACTTAAATATTCATTTAAAATCATCTGCAATATGTCCTTTTAAAATGGTACAGTGCTCTTTTATTATGCAGTGGTGGTGAGAGAGAAGAAACTCTTACTTTCTCTTCCAACATACTCCCTCTCAGTTTTTTATACCGTCAAAGATCACACCATTTTTTACCCATTTGTTCAGACTAAAATGCTACTTGCCAACACTAATGCCTTTCTTTCCCTCTCCATCTGTGACCAATTCATCAGCAAAACCCTTTGGATCTGTCTCTATACCTAGATTTACTCTTTAAAAACCAAGGATATAAAAAGATAAAATCAGAATACTATAAGATCGAAAGGGACAAAAATCAAGATATTTAAAAGTAAATAAGAAACAATGATGAAATTAAGAAGAATTTCACCTGAGAAAAGTATTTAAACAAAATAGGAAAGATAAAAGTTTGAAATATTAAATAGATTTAAAAAATGAAAATTGAAATGATTAAAAGGAGGTAGCCAAGAATTAATACACTTTGCAAACCAAGTATAAAAACTAAAGACAAACAAAGAGAATCTAAAATGTAGGCATTTAAATTTTTTATAGGGTAAGATAAAGAATAAGATGAAGAAATGTGTAACCAATGATGTTAACCACAGAGGTTTTTTTTGGTGATGGTAACAATGAAGACATGAAGATAGCACACTAGAAGTATTAGAACAGTGTTTTCTCAAATGCAATCTAGTTCCTTTTGAAGAACGACAAAATCTAGGCATATGTGGCATATGTGGCCATGGCACATTACAGAAAGCAGAGTAAAATGTGTGCTGAAAGAACAGAAGGAAGGGTATCCTATGGATTCTAGGCAAAGACTGCAATATATTTTGGCCATTTCAATATAGTTCAACTCTATGAAGGAACTAAATGGACTCGATTCCATCCCAGCTTGATTGTGATTTATGAATTTAAGGCTTAACATTTCCATCACTTCATACTTAGAGTGGGGAAAAAGCAGGGGTGGGAGACGGAATTTAAAGAAATAATATTTATTACTGTCAGGGACAAGGATAACAAATTTCTTTCGTCCACTGCTGATGGCTTTGTGGAGGAAAATCCAGAAAGTTAAAAATTAGTATACCTTTCCTGTGACAGACACTGCAAATTGCTTAGCCAGTAAAGAAAAATAAGCTTTTCACAGGGACCTTATGAAAAATAATAGATGAGGGCACCTAGGTGGCTCAGTTGGCCTGAGCCTTCAGCTCAGGTCATGATCCCAGGGTCCTGAGTTGGAGTCCCCAGAGCGGGCTCCCTGCTCAGCAGGGAGCTTGCTTCTCCCTCTTCCTCTCCCCCTCCTCCAGCTTGTGCTCCTTCTCTCTTTCTTAAATAAATACATAAAGTCTTTAAAAAAAAAACAGAGGAATCATCACTACTCTGGGGTAGGAGGGGAAGAGAGAAGTTCTTCGTTATACAAAGTCCATTTGAAATGGAAATCTCATTGTGGAATTGAATTTTGAAAGAAGAGATTAAACAATTCTCTTAGTTTCTAGGCTTAATATATTAAAGTGCCACCTGGGAGATGATTTATTCAGCCAAACTACATATTTCAGGCACTGGTATGCAATTTGTTCATTGGTTCATCTCTTCATTTGGCTGACATTTATTGAGAAACTACTATGTGGGGCACCTGGGTGGCTCAGTTGGTTAAGCGACTGCCTTCAGCTCAGGTCATGATCCTGGAGTCCTGGGATCGAGTCGCATATCAGGCTCCCAGCTCCATGGGTAGTCTGCTTCTCCCTCTGACCTCCCCTCTCATGCTCTGTCTCTCTCTCTCTCTCAAATAAATAAATAAAATCTTAAGAAAAAAAAAAAAAGAGAGAGAAGCTACTATGTGAAAGGTACTATGTTAGAGACTTAGAAATACCCAAATAACAATCATAATTATGATTATAATAATCAATGTTTACTGAGTATTATACATCCAGCTCTATGCTAGGCTCTTGATATATCGTCTAATTTAATTATTACAGCAACACTATGGGATATGTGTTATTATCCCCATTTCTCAGATGAAGAAATGGAGGCACAGATTAGAAAAGTAGCTCACCTAAAATCCCACAACCAGTAATTGTTGGAGTCAAATTATGAACCCCAGGTAATCCGACTCTAGGATGTGCACTCTTAATTACACATGAGCTCTGGTCTCCTCTGTACCAGCAGAGTCTCAAGATCTAAGTGCTTGCCCCTCAAAGCCCAATATTGAACAAAGAGCTGAGGGTAGTTTTTTGTGGACCAGTTGCCATGCAGAGTCCTGTCGCATTGCAGCTCTGGCAGGAACAACCTTGCACAGGTAGGGTCCTGTACCAAACCCACAGGCAAACCTCCGTGAGCAAGCCTGGGCTCTCAGAGTGGAGTCTGTCTTAAAGAGTGTGAAAATAAGATGTCAGAAAGAAACACAGCTGTTAGAGGTTTACAGAAACAGAGCCAACTAAGAGGGGGAAACCATAAACCATAACTCATCTGCAGCCATAAATTAAAGGGGAAATTAGATGTTCAAAGGGCCTCAGGCCTTGCTCATTTCCCTCTGTAAGCCTGAACAACACCTGCAACAAAGCAAAAACACTTCAAAAATGAAAAAAAAAAAAAGAAAACAAGTTAGAAATACAGTGACATAAATATAAACATATTTTACATACAAATGAAAAAATGAGTAATTGTGTTCAACCTAACTTAGCAATCTATCACCTTTTCCCCAAAACGTTTAAGGCAAAGGAAACAAAATCAAATGCATACACCATCCAGACAAGTAAACTGTGATTTAATAAGGAAGTATGTACTTGGTCTCTGCCCAGCTTCCTCACACGGAACTCCTAAAATCCTTGGAATTACATAAATGATAGGAGTGAGAGGAGCATCTCTGTTGTTTTGGTTTTTTGTTTTTGTTTTTGTTTTTGTTTTATGAGCCTCTGTCAACCACACCTGAGTGTGTTAATGAGCTGGCTCTTGGAGGATGGGGGCTTGTTAGGCTAGGAACCAACCTCCAGATTACAGAGGGTTAGAACTTTTTTTTTTTTTTTTTTAAAGATTCTATTTATTTATTTGACAGATAGAGAGGCAGGCAGAGAGGGAGGCAGAGAGGCAGGCAGAGAGGGAGGAGGAAGCAGGCTCTTTGCTAAGCAGAGAGCCCGATGCGGGGCTCAATCCCAGGACCTTGGGGTCATGACCTGAGCCAAAGGCAGAGGCTTTAATTTAACACACTATGCTACCCAGGCGCCCCCAGAGGGTTGGAACTTTAATCCCACTCCACCACCACCTCTGGGGAGAAGAGAGTAGAGAGGGGCTGGAGACTGAATCACCCACTGCTAATGATCTAATCAATCATCCCTGCATAAGGGAGCCTCCATAAGAACCCTTAACAATGGGATTCAGAGAGCCTTTGCTGAGAAGGTGGGGGGTCCAGAGAAAGCACAGTGAGTCTGTGCCTTTTCCTGAATATTTTGTCCTTATGTATCTTTTCCATTTGGCTGTTCCAGAATTGTATCCTTTATAATAAAACAGGAAATCTTAAGTAAAGCACTTTCCTGAGTTCTGGGAGCCGTTCCCACAAATTACCAAACCCGAGGAGGGGGGGTTGTGGGATCCCTTGATTTTAGTCTGTTGTTCAGAAGCACCGATGACAATTTGGGATTCAGGATTAGCATCTGATGTGGGCTTTAGTCTTGTGGGACTGAGCCCTGAACCCGTGAAGTCTAAGCTACCTCCAGGCAGTTAGTGTCAGAATTGAGTGAAGCTCTGGGACACCCATTTAGTATCCACTGAAAATCAGACAATA